AATTTTTTAAATTGGAAGAATACATGGAGAACAAATAAACTTGGTTAACGGAAGAGAAGGAGGTGGTCGCAGCGCTTGGCTCGCACGGGCTTGCAGATGTCAGCGGGGGGGTACTTCGGTTGCTTGAAGGCACGGCTTGCACCAGACGGAATATGCATGCTTTTGTGAGGTAACGGTTTCTAAAGTTGACTCTCGAAAGTGTGCGTTCAACAATTAGAATAGGGTAAATATTTTATATTTAATAAAAAAAATTAAACACATGAAGCATATGTCTCACGCCAAAGAGGCAAGTCATGTCTTGAGGCACACCTCATAAGGATGACTCGAGGCATTTTTTAGCATAATTGCATTAAGGAGCCTCTAGTATTGCACAATTTTAAATATTGATCACTGCAAAATGTTATAGAATACTCACTCACACAACAACCAAAGCCCCAACAACAACAAAGGCCCAAAATAGTAACTAACGACCAAACAATAAATAACAAATAACTGGTAAAGAATCATCTCACACTACGATATCTATAACCAACAAACAAAACCAGAAATCAAACTATTGGAAACCAAAAACGTGACAACAACACAACTAGGAGCAAAATCATGAAAACATAACACTTCATGTCACTGCCCAACAATAGGATCATTGTCCCCAAAAGTCACAACAAAGAACATAACTTTAAAGCCTAGCTAGATGCCAAGCCCCAATCAACAATAATCAAATTAAAGGCTCAAATAGAAAACCATAGAGAACCACAATTAAATTAAGGAACAAGCATCTAAACCAACGCAAGGAATTGAACCAATACAAGCATGACTTATTTTTTATAAGGATCATCATAAGCATATTTACACTAGCATATAGAAAAACCAATAAAATGAAATGAACTATAGTAACATCAAAACTTACATTGCCCATTTACATCATTGCGCCCTCATATGCGTTATATAATCTTTGATAATTCTTACTTACGGAATAATATGTATTTTAGAAAAAAAATAAAAAAAATGTGAATATGCAAAAAAAAGTGAAAGTAATATGTAATCCATAAGTAAACTACACCGCCAACAATAAGAGTGCATGTCAGGGATTCATAAACTTATTCATTTAAGTGACTACAAAAACACCAATCATTCTAACACGAGCCAAGCAACAAAAGAAAAATAAGGGCACAAAGAGATTCCATCATTAATAAATGACAACTCCAACTTACAACAAACCTCATGCTTAGCATAACAAGACCAACAAAAAAGAAAGAAAGAAAGAAACAACCTCTTGGAGACCAACAAACAAGAAAGAAAGAAAGAAACAACCTCTTGGAGAAAAGAAAGATGAGAATGACTAACTATTCAGCAAAAGTAAGTTTTTCTCCCAAGAAGCATCATTTTTTTACGCTAACCCATGTTTCAAAGCATCTAGACCTTTCGCCATATGGAGGACTAATAGCCAACTACTAAGATCAAGTTGAAGAGAGAGATGCCCCACATCTTTAACTTGGTTTTTTGGAGCAAACAATATAAAAGTGGAGTAATGATTAGGAGGCCTTTCCTTTATTAGGTCAAGCTAGTACTCAGCAGGCTATTGATGAATTAGTGGATGGTTCACTACAATTGCTTTAACCAAAATCAAGTAAGTGAGCTATAAACACTTTGCAGATTCAGATTAGTCCACATTAAATCAAAAAGAACCTAATTAAGCAAAAAGGCTAGATCCTCAAGCTATAAGCCACAAAACAAAGAATGAACCACCAGTCCACCACTTGTCAATTCATGACACGAGGTGGCCAAAATTCCCTTTTATTTCCTATGTCAGCCAAATCTAGGAGAGATATAAAATTAGGCATCTTAACACTCGTCCTTATCCTTTTTGCTTGGTTCCTCCTAAATAATTGTATTATAATCTTTTAGAATTTTTTTTTATTATACTTCAAATAAATCCTTTATTTAAAAGCTAGGATAAGGACCATATTATCAAGAAATAGAGATCATTAGGATGTAATCTTCACAGCATGGAATTAAGTTGCAAATACATTTTGATAATTTTAGCAACCAACCACACAATGCAAGGAACAATCACGAGAAACCAATGAAAAAACAAGAGTTTAAGCAATTGCAAGTGGAGATTCATCATCAAAAGTAAGTTTTTAGCATAAATGATTACTTTAGAATCATTTTATCCATTTCATGTTCATCTTCATTTGGCACAATTGCATTAATCAGAGTATTTAGTAACATAACAAAAGACTTTCAAGAAACTCCTTCATTATGCAAGTAAAAAAACCATGCTCAATGATTTCACAAAGCTTAACTCCACCTTCAAGTTATCTGCAATCCAACATATCATGTGATGGTTTGAATCAAGAGTTGTGGTTCATCCATGCTCTTAGATTTATGAATCAAATTGGGTGTCAGAACATCAATTCCTTAGCAATCTAGATTAGGAGGTGGCCTATCAATAACCTTCCTCTCAATCTAAGATTATCTTCTTGCCAAAAAAAACAAATAATTTTACTATGCAAATGAAAGCTGGCTTCCTTAACTTAATTCTCATCTACAACTTCATATATATCATCATGATTGTACTTCGCCAAGTATGTCATTGGCCAAATATCTCTTATTAGATCTAATGTATTTTTTACTGGTACAATCTATTATAACGAACTTTTGTTTGCATATACAAATTCAAATCTTAGCAAATCTAATGTTATTTAATGTAGGCCGTCCAACGGAAAATTTCAACCAACCAAATCCTAGAAGAAGTATATCACATGCTTCTCCTTAAACCCTTCTAAGTTGAACTAAATAGGTCAATTAAAACCCCGACCAAATTTTTAAAAATAAGATAAAATCCAATTCCAATCTAATCATAAATTGAGACTTCAAAGCACTAATCATTACATCTCACCAAAAATTGATAAAGCTCATAAGAAATCAACAACTAACTAAGGAGAGAGAACTAGACCATATACCTTGGAAATGCTAGTTTATGTGGCACTTGAATGGAGGGGAATGAAAATTCCAAAAGTATAGTGGTGGTGGTGGTCTAAGGCCAAAAATAACAACATCATCAAACCTTTATCCCACTACATGGGGTCGGCTAGGGCGAAAGAAGGCTTAATTATTGGACATCTAAGGAAATAACATCACATTCATGATGATGCTTGTCCACTTTGCACTACCTAAGGAGTTGCATCTAAACTTAGTTACAGTTGTCACTTAGATCTTGTCATTAAAAAGGACAGTGACCACATGGACTATCGCCAAACTATTGTTGTCAAAAGGAGAATCAAGTTTCAAGCTTTAAAAAAAAATTGACATGTAAGATTATAGGATAGCATGAATTTAAACTAAAAAGAAATAAGAATTAAGGAGAAAATAAAAACTAAAGATGTACTTTCATCTTCCAATAGAAATAATAACAATTTTCATTGTTTTTTTTAGGTAAGTATGTACAAAGTAGCTCATTAAGCCCTTTTCTGTCGAAATGGCAGTAAGCTAATACAATCAAATGTTTTATTATTTGATCAGATCATGTTCTAATAAATTTCTATTGAAATTGAACCAATTTAAGTAAGTTTCGTTGGTCTTTATTGGGATTGAACTTGAACTAACATGCTAACAATAATTGACATTTATAAATGCCAATCATACGAGACATAGAACACGAGATCAAAGTAGAGCTTCTAATAATATGGAGATTTGGAATGAGTAATTTGGAGGGAAGGAATATATGAGGAACATAAAGAGTTTGTCTTTCCAATAAATAAGAAGCAAGGACATCGTAGCATAGGAATCGAACAACAGCTTGTAGTACTTTCAAACTCACTTACATGTCCTTAAAATCCAATACTCATGCATCTTAGATGGCCCAAACATCATAGGGAAGTTTCAGCTGTAAATAATTCTATTCGATCTAACTTAGTTGTCCAAAATTTTTCCCAACTCTTTAATTTACACTAATATGAGAGAGAGACTTGTATTTTCTATGACTTTATAGATATGCAATTATAGCCTTGGTGTTAAATTGAATTCATTCTAACATATTCTAAGCATGCCTTGATTTCAAAAAAAAAAAAAAATATTTTGTTATTGTTAGATATCCCATTATGATGTAAAAAGGGGAGGATTGAATTTTAACTTATTTGTACTCGAATAAAAATATTGTGATTTTTTAAATAATATTAATAAAGTTGGCCCAACAAATTTTAAAACATATAAACAGAATACTAAAGTTTGTTTTGACAACAAAATTAATAACATTATAATTGTTTAGATCCTTTTTTTTATTTACATTTTTTTATTTATTATAAGAAATTAATTCATAAGTGACATTTCGAGAAAAATATCTAAACCACCTTTTATTAAAATATCTATTTCTTATCGTATAACTCAGGCAAAAGTCATTGATGGATCTAAAGATTCAAAGCCCATGATAGAAGATAGCAAATAGAAAGCTACGGTTTCTCTATGTTCCCCGAATAGATCTTGAACACAATGCTTGTCAGCAAGCCATTTTTTCAATCAGCAAACTAACAATGCTCTGAGGGATATGAGCTGGGCTACAAATTACTTCACATCAAAAATCTTCCTTGAAGTCCTACTTTCAACCATAAACAAATATGAAAGCACTCGAAAAGTAATTATTCTTGAAAGCATTTGCCACTGCAATGCTCTAATAGCATCCTTCCACAACAATTAACTGACAAATTTAATGTCCAAAAGTTGTTCTCACATACATAGTGCATTAATATAACGTGAAGAATGCTCAACTATCAACTAGTATATCAAATATTCCAAGTATATGTACAAATACATCAAAATTAAATTTTACATCTTGCACTTCATGATTTAATCAATATGAAATGTTGCACAAAATTTTTTTGGTAACAAGAATGGCTCCAAATATATATTACTATTGAAATTTTATTTGCAATAAAAACGTGCCTTTGTCTTTAGAGCATTGAAAATGAATTAACAAAATAAGACTATATTTACTCATGCAGGTGGCAATTGAAATACCTTATATAATAGTGCAAGTGCTCATCTTTTCAAGTACAGTATACACAATGGCAGGATTTCAGCTGGTTGTCTCTAAATTTTTATGGTTTGTGCTATTTATGTTGTTAAGTTTCTTCTACTTCACACTTTTCGGGATGATGGCTGTGGCACTTACACCAATACAAGATGTAGCAGCTCTATTGTCCTTCCTAATCTTTATCTTATGGAATCTCTTCTCAGGTTTCATGCTTCCTAGAAAGGTTACAAATCTCTAACCACAATATCATTTACGGGCTCAAATACATCTAATAGTCACTGACATTATTCTCATAATGATACAGCTGATACCGACTTGGTGGAGATGGTATTACTGGGCTAACCCTGCAGCATGGACAATCTACGGTCTACTATTTTCCCAACTGGGGGACCGAGTTGAATTAATCCAAATCCCGGGAGGAACAGATCAAACTATAAAAGAGTTCCTTGAGGATTACCTCGGTGTAGAAAGCACTTACTTCCCTATTATAGTAACCCTCCACTTCGGAATTATTGTTCTTTTTTTTATTTTGTTTGTTGTTGGAATAAAACATCTAAACTTTCAAAAAAAATGATGAAACAAAGAACAACTACATAGGGTATTCCAAGTATATGTACTCTAGCAGAAAAAACTATGTAGTGAAAAATGTATTTAACAATTTAGTTATGTCAAAGAGTGCAATCCTCTTCTTTGGCATTTCTTGGTTAATAATATTTGGCAAATAAAAATATAGCGACTTTTTCAATACATTGGACTGCCACCACAACAAGGCCATCTTTGTTGAATGAAGTCTCACCATACAATCACTCTAATGATAGATGTAAAGCCTGAAGTGTTGGAGAAAAGTATAACCCAGAGCAATGATGAACACGATAATGAGGATAAAATATGCAATCAGAACACCCAAAAAAAAATATTAGAGTTTATGTGGTTCCATGAGATCCACTTACATCTATGGCTACACACTGAAATAAATATCCACAGGTCTAAAGACAAAGCTAAGATAAATATTAGCCTCACATATTTTTTTAATCTTATCTCGGTATAATTTTTCCTTCCCTGTCTTATTCCATCTCAATACCAGAGTGTAATTCCTCCATTAAATATGCTCACCAAAGATAGAGGACAACATGAAGCTTCTTGTCAAATGACCTCATTGGTTGAACCCCTGTGTCTTGAGAAGGCATATAACTTCCAATTATCACCTATGACTTACGTGCTTGTTAACTAGACAACGGAGTGATCATTGTTGCACTCCTTCAAGTTATATAGCTTATGCATATGGTCCATCACGCAATTATGGAGGAAGGCAATATCCTTCTCCATTGCAATTGCCCTATTTCTAGCCACCTCCAGTCTTTTGTACTCATCATACTAGTCAGTTCACGGGCTTAGAAGTTTATCTCCATCTCAATCATCCTTGTCTACAAAACATACTAGAAAGAAACCATTGCAACTAGACCTTGCACATTCTACGGTGATTGCTCCATAAACTTGTGCTCCACCCAAGCCCTAAAAGACAAATTCTTAGACCTCACCCTCCTCTGACATCACAACTGCCCGCAGCTCTATTATCATTTTCTCCGCCTCACCCTCATTAGTACCTTCAACAATAGTACCAGGAGCAGAGGTCATTGCCACCCTGACCTTCACTGCTCTAGTTCTTTCTCTCTACCCTCATCATCAACCTCTTGATTTGACTCTCCTTCAGCTTCACCACGAAGGCACCAACATTCTCTTTTTTATTCTCTCCCTCCGTTAGAAGGGTCATATCAACCTACTCCTGCCTAATAAATTCTTCCTCAACCAGATCCTCCTAACCATTGGTGTTTAAATCAATAAACATTGTCATCGAAAACCCTGTGAATGAGCAACCTCCTATGTATCAATAGCCTCAATTGTTCCACCAGCATCTCCTCCCCTTCACCATAGTTTTTTATTTTCTCTATGCTTTTTACCTCAACGTTGAGATCCAAGAGTATTGAGCCAAAAGCCATGATGGGAGCAAGTTCACTGGTAACTTTGCGGCAATTGCTGCCATTATGGTGGCAAGATCTTGTTTCTCCCCTCATTCTTTAACTTACCATATTGAGAAAGAGTTGGCTTGGAATGTTTTATGCTATCAGAGTTATAATTTTTTTATGATATAAATGAAGGTGTGCAAGCTTGAAGATGTATAATCGCATTTCAAAGCCCTATTGACCATGCTTATTGAACTTCAAAATCAAGGGAAAGTGTAAATTCAAAAGCTTTTCTAAAGATTTAAAGCAATATTCATTGATCGAATGTCAATTGTAATAATGACATAAATGACCCAACACTGAACCAATGCCATGTTCATAGATCCCTCATTTTAAATAGCATATCCCAGATGAACCTCTTGGGAGTGTCTCTTGGGAATTCCTCTCAAGAACTATCTTAGCAAATCCTCTGGATAGTCCACATGTTCATGTTGACAATCCAGCTACTCCACTTAATCTATCTGTCAGAACTATGAATTCTCTCTAATACATCTTTGGCAAGGCTTTCAACAACATGTATGGCAAATCCAATAAACTACAACATAATTCATTGCTAGCAAAGAAAGCCCATTTAATGCAAAGCACCACTACTAGAGCCATTCCGTTAATCATACAACACATCTATTGTTGTTGAAAGGAAAATCATTGTCGACTCATCGCTCCTAAAGGCCCGAAGATGTTAAACGTTTGCGTATATTGATCGTATTCTTTCTTGCCTTATCAATTAATTTTTTGCCCCAATCAACTTCACATGATACGTAGAACCTACTTTAATCCTGAATTTGACGTCTTATTGTGCAACAATGAACATTGTGGCCATTCAACCCCCATTAAATCATCCTAGGGTATATCCTCCAACATCACTACAGCTATGCTAGTGTGCCATCATTACAATGAACTAAATTTTAGCTTTCATTATAGCTCTAGAAACCTCTATTAGCACACTTTTTGGTGGCTCATAATAAAGGTCAATCGGTCAACTAACAATAGCTCAGAATGGTGTCACTATCCAATTATTCCTCATCTAGCACAGAGTCTTATGTAAGGAAGATGACCGACACTATCAATCCAGAATGCACTTATAAATGGATCAGGCTAAGCTACCCTGCCTTCAACATAAGCTTTCCTAATTCAGCGAGTTCAAATTTAAGCTCAATTAAATGAGTTTGGGGCAACTTACAAGTTGGCTCATCTTCATATGAATGAGAGAAAATGAAACAATCTTGAGTTGTAACAATTCGACAAGAAACAGATTAAGAAGTTCAAATATAATTAATAAGAAATTAGGAGAGAAAAAAGTAGAATAAAATGTTTAAGTTTTTTTCATAACTTTATGATTAAAACCCTGCTGTGTATTATTTTTAATTATAGCCTATAACAATATTTTAAACACAATCCAGCTCACCAGCATACGAGTCAAGGCTAGCTCAATCAGGAGAATGGCTTATTTGCACCTCAAGACCAATTTGGACTAATCAGGGACTTGTTCGGGCCTATTTGGGACCTAATTGAGCTGGTTTAGGCATGCATGGTACTCTACATGACCCGTTTTGAGCATGTTCAAGCACGCGCTCTACCAATCTGAGACAAAGTAGACTCTAATTTAGTCTTTAGTAGGCACTTCAAGATCCATGCTTGTGCGTCAAAATTATGTTTGATTATACTGAGAATTTTACAATCCCAAAAACACAAATGTTTGTTCTTTTTTATATACTATTGCACAACGCGTAAAACTTGAAATATTCAAGCAACAAACAGGGAATGAATTGAATAAAACCACATTGGCAACCAAAACTAAACAAGCAACAACTTCATACGACTAAAATCACAAAGAACATGACCAAACATAAATAGCAAGTAAAAGGTACCAGACACTTCGAGAAAACCCAAAGAAAATAAATGATTCTACTTACGTTCTTTGAATAGATAAAGCACTTTGGAGAAGAGAAGCTAATAACTAGCCATGAAAGAAAATCCAAAGCCGTGTTGTCAGGCTAGGGTTTAGGAGTACCAGAATATAGCTAAACCGGCGGATGAAAGAAATATGGGAAATATTAGGAAATAAAAACGGGTTGGAAGGGATTTGGCTGAAACAAGAAGAGCCACGTGCGATTGGCTATTAGGCGAAATGTTAGCGCCATTTATGTGAATCAATTTGCAGTGTCCACTCGCCGGTAAGTCAGTACGCGGGGATGCAGAAGATGTTGGGAGCAGCGTGGGCCATCGCCGATCGATGACAGCGCCAGTCACGGCCTGGTGAGATCCAGCGTGAGGCGTATCTCCTCGTTGAGAGAGACAAAGAAACCAGAGAGATACTGTTGAACGTAGAACTTAGGGCTGTATCAACTAAACAAATAATTTAATTTTAGTAAGATTTCCTAAATTAGACTGGGCAAGATAATTGTTAAATTTTGCTAAATTTTGTGAAATTATTTAACAATGTAATTCAAGATTTTTGATTATTGATTCATTTAAAAATTAAATTTAATGTATTTTAAATGTAATTTATATTTTAAATATAATTACTAATTAATTTCACTTTAATTATTACAACGAACCTATAATAATAAATAATATAATTAGAAGTTTGATTAGTTATCAAATAATTTAATTAATAGTTTAATTGCTATTTATAGTACTAATTATCAAAATATTTATTAAGATTTAAATTAATAAGTATTTTATATCTAATTATATTAATAATTGCCTAATTAATTAAATATTTTTTAAAATAGCTATTTATGAAACTAGTACCCTACTAATGATTTTATTAATTATTTAAGTATTATTTAATTTGATTAAATTATTAATTAACTCATTAAGAACTTAAATATTATACTGCAAATTAATTATATAATTATTATTTACAATATTAATTACATAATTAAATATTCAATTTCAAATTCTAAACCCTAAGCTAATTATATTAAATTTTTATTATTAATTATTTAATTAAGATTAATTAAATTTATTTGATTACACTATTAATTATGTAATTAATTCTATGAAATATTAATATATTAAATTAAATTAATTATGCTAAATTAGATTAATTGGATGGAGGCCTTCTAGGGTTTGCTTTTCATTTTCATTTCTTCATTATTGTTAAGCTTTTCCTCATCGTCATTACTCGTTGCTGCTTCGACCATGCGTACTTAACGTAAAGAGCTTACTCGCTCACTACTGGAGAACTTCACAAATCTATAATTCCCACTTAAATCCACCGAACAACGGGATTTGGTAAATCCCGAATTTAAATTGTAAATCCATAAATCCAAAATTATGGTCGATTCGGATTAACTACACACTCTCAAACCTTTTGACCGGATTTACAACAAAATCGAAGTAAATCCTTCTTAAAATCCTACTACCAAACAGCCCCATAGAGATCATTTGCATGTGGGATTAAAATTATGGATTTAGTAAATCTGGTAAATCATGATTTGGGAGTTGTTTAGATACGAGTAGGATTTAACTTTAGTATTATGTAGTAACTAAAATACTACTGGATTTATTAAATTCTACTAAAGTTTAAAAGTGAAAATTATTTTGCAAGATAGTTATTAAATCTTATTAAATTTTGTGATACTGTTTGGCAAAGTAATCCATAATTTAAATCGGTTAGTTTATTAAATTGCTAGTGGAAGCATTAATCTAGAACACGAGTTACTTTTTAATTCTAATTTTAATTAATGTTAAATCTTGTAATAATCATCAAATACAATTAGTTAATTATTAATTACAAAATGAATTATTTAATTACATTAGTAATTATTTAAATTATTATTCAATTATTATTTTATATAAATTTGTATTTAATTAATGCTCATGTTACTAATAATTTAAGTGCTATTTTAATAAAATTTAATTATTAATAAACTATTAATTATCTAAAAAATCATTTAAAATTTTTATAACTAACTAGTTATTAAATTATTTTTATATAGCTAATTATCTAATTAATTATGAATATTTTAAATTAAATTTGATAAATATATGTAAGATTTGTGTTTTTGCTTCATTTCTTCATCGTTTGACCTAGTTAGGGTTTGCTTTTCCTTGTTGCTAATTTAACTTCTTGTGCTTCTCATAAAGTAGTACCTAAGGTAGTGACAAATTTGTCACAACCCAACCTAATCTAGACAGGTCTTATCGTGTTGAGCTATGACAGGCAAATCTCCTAATTTTAGAATTATTTCAAAATTTTTGTCAATATTCATCGAAATAAACTACATACTACAGAACTACTAAAATATTCAAATATTAAAAATAAACTCATCCATCATGTTTCTTTCATTTCATCAAATTAAATATTTACACTACAATACATAGCTATAGGCAAGAGCTACATAACTAAAAATTTAACTTGTTATGACTGTACAAAAATCAAAATAGAAAAATACCTATAATCTATGATCTGATTATGAATTGCTAATCCACAATCTCCTTCCTCTTCCTAGATCCTAAAAACTAGAAGCAAAATCACAATGAGCTACAACAATTTAGCGAGCCACACAATCATATCTAAAATTTCAAATTCTTTTATTAATTATTTTTCTTGATATTTAAAAGCAGTTAAATATAATCCAATAAATCATTTTACTAAGAAATATGATAATAGTATTACATTTATCCAACTCTTTAAATAATAATACTAAACATATATATAAATTGCAATGCATATCATATAGTAATTTATATCACATTTCTCAGACCTATACATAATCTAAAAAAAATCTGGCCCTTAATGACTCCATTTTGTGCTTATATCACCAGAACATTCTAATAAGCACTAGAATATGACTTATACGGACCAGAATATGCCTGATAGGCACCAAAATATTATCTGACAAATTAAGATAGAATCTTAAGGGATTATAGCCCCTTATGACCCCAACAGATACAATTTAAACACATATGCATATATATCATCACATTATAACAATTAAAGAATAATTGATTTTATATCAAAATTGCATTATTTTATATAACGATATGTAAATGAAAATATTACTAGGCAAAAATGTACATTTTCAAAAAATTATCAAATTATCAGAGATTGTGTAAAATGATATTTTAAGACTTTTATTATACTACACAATTATTTTTCAACATATAGATAATTTTCTTTTCAATAAAAAACCCCAAAAATTTCAAAGCCCATATTGTAAAATTTTCAGAAAATATACAAAATGTGCATAATCTTAATCTGTATAATATATAAAAAGTTACACGATAAAAGTTTTACTAATTCGAAGTTATTCGTATTTTTCGCTAACGAACATAAAATGTTAATAGAAAACTTTACAAAAAATTATATATTTTTAAAATTGAGATGGACATATAATGACTACCTCGAGGCGAACAAGTTTCATAATTGGGCCGACAGACAAAAATAGCTCTAAGACCTCCAAAATCGAATTTCAATTTCTCTCTCCTTTATTTTTCTCTCATTTTTCCTTATTCGTTCTCTGTTTGGGGAAAAAAATGAAAAAGGCAAAGCTTATCATATTATATATAGTGGATTAGGATTTTTATAATAAAACACTAAATAATTATTATAATTATTTAGTATTAAAATATTAATTTTATCAAAATTATTTTATATCATTAAATCCAAAAATTATTTAAAAAAAATATTCATAAATTAGCTAATCATATCTGAAACATTTTGGTAAAATTAATTTGTAAAACGGATACCTGAAGATCACAAAAATCTCACTTGTACCGACACGTGTCAATTTCTTAAGAAATTTCACAAGTTCCCAAAAAATTATGAAAAAATCAGGGTAATTAAAACACTAGACTATAAATGCTCTAGCAAAAATGGTTTGTGATTTGAACTTATTAGGCCTCCTGAAATAATTTTTGACTTTTCTAGGTCAAAAAATTTTTTAAAAAAATTTAGGATTCGCAATTTTAGGGAGATTCCAACATACCATGTCACTCTAGACTATGGTTTAAGTGTGGGCCATGAAGGTGCAATACATTATGTGCTCTTTGGCAATGTCAGAATGATAGTAAGGGCTATGGTAGAGTATAAATGTGTCAGGTCGGTGTTGAGGATGGTTGTTCATCAAGGATTGAGGCTACCTAATGTGTCATACAACTTACAAGAATGAGGGGGACAACTGATGCCTCCCCTCCTCAAGTTGTCCTTTAAAATGAATGGCTAAAGGTATGCGTCAAACTATGATTGATCGAACATATACCATGAGTATGGGCATCAATAAATGACCCAATATGAAAATCCAATCCAAACTCAACCCAAAAAAAATGTGGGTTTAGATTGACCTGTTTAAAAAACAGGTCGAGTTTCAGTCAAAATTTTTCACATGTTTAATTGGCGGGTCAGGTTCGAGTTTGTAACAATCACTACTATAAAAACAAGTCCATCTGAACTAACTTGATAAGAATTTTATCTTTGCTCTCATAAATGCTAAATGTTTGTGAAATGTTCAAATATTCAATGTTTATTTAAGCCTAAAAGAGCCTAGGATTGGATTGAAAAAGTAGGACATGTTAAGTAAAAAGGGCTCCTTGGAAGCACTATTGCAATGTACATATAGCATTGAGATGTTGTGGTCTCTATTTGGAGAAAAGACGCTTAAGGGCACAACATCATTGAAAGTAGGCGCTGCGGCGCTGCGGCGCTGAGCTCTTTGTATAGAGCATCCAGAATATTTGGGCGGAGGCACACAACATTGTGATGCTAGGATTTGTTTTTAATATTTTTATATAAATATCTAAAGCATTAACCATTCCACCATGTAATCGTCCTTTTTTTTTACCATTTAATCATCCTAGTTATTAGAAACATTAAGAGAAGGCTAGAGAAGAAAGAAGGGAAAGAATAGAGACAATAGAAAAACCTATGGTTTAGTGGGCAAAGAGTCGAATCCATCTGTTAGGCTAGTTAAAAGAATAGCTCGTATCAAGGTAAACTCTCAATACCTTATTTCAGTATTTCTTATTTCAATTTCGACATTTATTTGGATATTTTTTAGGTTTTAATTGATTTTATGTAATAAATCTTAAATTTTAAAAGAGTTGTTTTAGCCTATAAAAGTAAAAAATTATTTTAAGAGTCATTATTACTCCAAATTATAAACCTTCTTCTCCATGACATAAATATTTTTGTATTTTAGTTTCAATAATATTTTCAATTTTTTTTGGTTTTAGTGCAATTCCTTAAGAAATTGACACATGTAGGTACAAGTGTGTTTTTTTGGAAACACTAAAAGAGTAAAAGAGAGATAGAAAATAAAAGCCACATTATGGAGGTCATAGAACTGTTTTTGTCTTTCAGCCTAGTTCATAAATTTATTGTTCTCGAGGTAGGTCACATTGT